ACCCTTAACCAACAAGAAAGCAAAATCAAATCACCAAAGATGGGAACATTTATTAAAACACAATTGTCACAATTAGACCGGATCTTACAATTAGAAAAAGAACAAGAAGATCCAAGAATAAGAATGGGAATAAGACAATTGAAACAACAACTAGAAAGCATGGAAACGAATTATAAATACGTTTTCCAACTAACGAAACAACAAACTAACGAATATATCCAGGAAATTGAAAAAGTCACAAATAGGAAAATAGCAGAAGCTGAAACAGCAGAAGATAAAAAGGCTTATCTATACAAAACGATATCCGCATTAACAGAAACAAAAGATGCTATTCTCTGGAAAAAGAGAGACCTAGTAAAAGACTTAGAAGAAGAATATGGGTACACAACTAACCAAGCATTGACCCTAGATAGAAAAGATTTTGAAGCTATGGAAGAATATAAGCAATGAATCTTAATGGAAAGACTCGCTAGACAAATGGAATTAAGTGAAAGCGAACCATTACGACAACAACTCCAAGCAAAATACAGAGAATTACTAGGAGTATCATTAGAAAACTTAGATAAGATGCATGACGTAGAAGATGAAGAGGAACAAATGTTCCAAAAACAAATACAAGCTAGAAGAAAAGGCTTAGAATTACCAGAAATATTACCATTAAAAATCCATATCATGAGGAATATAAACCAACAGAAAACAAACCACGAGATGTCGAAACATTAGAAGATAGATGGTTACTAGATCCAAACTTTGGACGAACAGTAGAATGGATAAAAGAGCAAGATGAAGATCAATATTCACAAGTACCGGAACAAACAATATCCGGAACCACATCAAGACCAAACTCACCAACATCACGAACCTTCTTTAACAAAGCCAAATAATACAAATAATATTAAACCAATTGGAAGAACAAAATTTAAAATATAATCAAAGGACCAATGAAGTGGTAAAAAGCTTCGAACGAATGGGAGATGAATTAACCGATATAGCAGAAAGAATGAATCGACCAATGGCATTAGAACCATTAATTTATAATCAACCCCATCTCCAGATAGAAGCAAACAAGATACGAAAAGAAGTAATAACTCGAGCATTCTTATTATCATCAAAAGAAGAATGGCGGGATGAATCACAACAAGGAAGTGAATTACACTCTGAAGAAGAAGCTATTCAGACAGCCAGCGAATTAAGAACAGAACAGGTACAGAAAGGAGTAACAATGTTACAAAAACTGCAAGAACGGCAACCAAGGTCACCGATAGTACGACCAAGAACTACTAATAGAGAAGTAAATGAAATAAGTAAAGAAGAATTTGAAGAAGGCAAAAGATCTTCATCAGCACCGGCAACACCAATTACAATCAGTATTACTCAACATTATTGAAAGAAAATAATAATAACCAAATATAGTCTATCATTAATATGTATAAATATCATTGTATAATTTAGCTTAAAAGGCACACAAATAGGATAATATTAATATATCCCAAAAAGGATAATCTATATAATTCTGAGAATTAAT